GGCCGCGGTGCGCCTCAGGCGCGCGCAGGCGCTGCCTCGTAGCGGGTCCGTAGTCCCAGCGCCTCCTTCCCGTGGTCTGAAATCGTCGCCCTTACGGGGGTTTCACGCTTAATTGGGTTTACTGATTATTGCGAAGAGATGCAGTTTTATTTTCCTCTGTTACTAAAGCAATTCGATAGTCATGAACGCAAACCACAACCCTATTAATCACTCAATGCTAATTAATTAGTGATTAACTCTGCCTGGTTTGAAAAAAGTAGTGTAAGTGGGAATTTGTGCGTAGTACTTTTCCCACCAATCTTTATTACACCTGTTTGACTTGCCAGTTTCTTTCTTCAGTTAGTAAAATTGAGGCAGCATCAATGAGGTGGGATTCATTTATTTTATCCTAATTCTACCTTAATTCTTCTGTGCCATTTCTTAGAAGAATATCAGAGATTTAAACATGGATGTTATGGTGGTGCAATCCTAAAATGTACTGTACAACCCCTTACTTAAATATATGGTAATGAAAAGTGTTTTGGGTCTTGGATGAAAGCACAAACTTTCCAACCTCTCAGGACATTCCTGCTCCTTGATCCATGATTGTGATTATCTTCTGCTTTTAACTCAAATCATGTTCAGAGGTCAGCTTCCAAGTGAGAGGCATTTTGTATACTACTTCAAGACAGAATGTGCTTGGACTGACCTAGCGAAGCAGTTAGGTATGCTCCTTTGCAGGATCAAACCTCGTGTCATTATGTTATATTAAATTCTTCCTGCCTACCCCATGCAGTGAGAACTGAAGGAGTCCTGGTTTTTTGGTTTTTTTTCTTCCCCCGGGGAGTGTGGGGCAGAAGTGTGGCAGTGCTACTGTCCTTTCTGTGTAATCAACATGAATAAGTAACCTCTGGCAGGCAGCCTTTAACACAGTGTCCCTTTGTCTGGTAACTTGCTGCTCCTGTGATTGACTTAAAAGCATTTTGTAACAGAGCAGTGCTGTGCCCTTTAATACCTACTGACATCCAAATAAAATGAAGTATAATGACACTGATAGCAGATAAGTATGAAAGTTCTTGTGCAGGCAGATTTTGAATACGAAATATTTCTAACACTTTTAACAACTAATGTGTCAGTGTGCTCTCTGTTGGGAAAATCATTTCTTTCCCCAGTCACTGTTCTTATAAAATCACTTTACAATTTCACTTCTCTTATCAGTAACCATGTCCTTTCCTTGGTATCCTTTACAGCATGGGTCAAAGTCACCTCTTTCGATACATTTGAGCCCAGAGCAAAATTGCATATGTCCTCAGAAGCATTGAACTAGACCTTTGGGACTGGCACTGTTAGTTATGTCACTCAGAACATGGTGTCTGGAGATGGAATCTTCATGCAGAAATGAAGTAACTAGACTGAAAAATACATTACTTCATTTGATGTTGTAGGGAAGCCTGCTGAGAGATAGAATGGCAAAAATGTTGTTTTGTGAACTCCAAGGATTATATGATCACCAGAGTCTGACAGTATTGTCTGTCCCTTCACAGCTCTGTGCTTTTTTTCCAGTATGAGGCAGCTGCATCATGATGTGCCGGATGAATAAGCGGGCAGTAAGGGAAAAGGTAAGAAAACAATTATTTACATACAGAAATGGGAACTGAAGAGGAGCAGCAGTAATGAAATTGATGGGACAGTTTCTGTTTAGGAGCCTGGGAGACCTGAGAGCCCATTGCATTTCTATTACTGGCATCTTGGGTGATGTTAAGGCAAGTCATCCATATAACTGACGTAATGACAGACATGCTTTGGCTAGTGTTTTAGCTCTTTCAATGAGAAACTTTTGATAACAGCTAGATAGTATCATTCTCCTCCTATCTGTGCCACTAACTTTGGGGAAGTCATTTAACATTCAGATCTTGGTTGTTCACTCCTGCAAAATATGACTAATGATATTGTAGTGGCTAGGTGTGTATATAGGACATGCACAGACTGTCTACTGAGAAATGTCAGGAAAGCCCTTACCATTTGAGGAAACTGCTTTGAGAGGAAGCAGAAGAGTGCATTTCCTGATCCAAAGACCGTGCTTTGGAGACAGAGGAAGCATTCAACTAGCCTAAGCAGGAGGAGAACAGTAACTGCCTCAGTACTGTTTTCCAATAATAAATGGAAATAGTTCTTTAGCTGAGGTGAGTTCATGCTGCTGAGACCTCAGGTGTAGCAGCAAAATTTGATTGCATTTTGTATCTAACTTGTTTATCACGAAAGCTTGGACTATACTATAGTATTTGCAAGCGCTGCCTTTGCTAAATGCTGTCCTAACCAATCTGTCTGTAGATTTGAAATACCCCAAGTGCTGACATATAAACTTGCCTTGTATATTCTGTTTGCCAATTTGTCTTTCTGCATCAGAAAGCATGATACAACATTGGGTAGTTTGACTTGTCTGCACAAATTGAGAATTGATTCCAAGCTGCCCAGTACTGCAGCCAAATCAAGCATTTACAGCTCTGCTCAACTTGAGTTATTTTTTTGTGGCAGATAGGGGAGTACACAAACACAATTAACTAGGCTGTTCAAGTGAGATTTCCAGCTCCCTTCTGAAAAGTCAAATTTCTGTTTGCAGCTACAATTTAACAGCTAAGTTCTTTCACCCAGTGTAACGACCTAAAAAGCTCATAATTTCCAGAGTTGTTTTTAGATGTTATGGGGATTTTCTGTTATAATTCTCTCAAACATGTGAAGTTTGCCATTTACTATTCTGAATGACATCCCTTTTCATCTCTTCTTTTTGCATTGGAATAAATAACAAAAGCTGATCCATCACTGAGATACCATCACAGTCATTTTTTTCCATAGCTGCCAGCAAGGCTGCCTTCTGCCAATAGCAAAATTTATGGGAGATATCCCTCACCATGCCAGTCATCTTCCCTTAGCTAGCTCTATCTAGAAGTCTTTCTTTTTCATTCTCTGCCCTCCGAAGTCTAGAGTGGATTCTGTCTTTCTCTGAAAATACTGTAAAGCTTGTCTCCTAGATCTTTTGTTGTTAAGCATTTTCCTTACTAAATATGAATAAATTGCCTAGTTTTTACATGTGCCAGTATCTTACACTTCAGTGGTATACATCTTGAGTTATTCTATAGAGTTCATTAACAGAATGATCATTCAGTAAGTACATCTTATCTTAAAGACAGTGGAAGTTACAACCTTTTGCATTTTTTTGTCTTGTCACAGCTTAGCAAACATGAGAAGCAAATCCCTCATTTCTGAAAGAAAATATTTTTGAATGGTAGGAGAAACGTAGCCAGAAAAAGACATTGCTTTGACTTTCTAGTGAGGTGTCCCAATGGCTTTAAAATATAAGCATATGTAGGTCTTGCAGTCTTACTATTCAGTTTTCATTCCTCTTATACCTCATTTGATGTTTTAAAAATTAGATAGCCAGAAAGTTACTGGGTTTTTAATAACTTCTGGCTAAGGGACAGAAGCATGGATAGTATTTCCATAGTCTATCTTCTGTCCTGGGTGATTGCCTATGTTTGGAGCCTGGACTCTGCGTGTTCTCTCTGTAGCCAGTGGTAAGAGAAGTGTCTCCAGAAAGCAATCCAATCACCTTGATGAAGTCTAACATAGATGCTCATAGTTGCCCTCTTAAGGCAATTGTCACTCTGAGTATTGATTTTATGGAGAGCCTACAGAGCTTAGATGTCTATTGTAAGCATCTAATTTACCTTCTTTATGCAAAACATCTGAACACAGCCCTAACCTGTGAAAACAGGATGACAGCATGAAACAGAGAACTGAGGTGGCACCAGCTTGTGCTAGTGCTGGCCAGCAGTGGGCTAGCTGAATTCTTCGTATTTTGGAATGAAAGGAAGGCTGGCCTAGCAGCTTGGTTTTCTGTTCTTGCTTCTGCACTCTAATCACTGTACTCTAGTTCATTAATGCATTCTGTCTTATTCTGGCTATGCCTTCCCCTATGGCTTCAAATATCTCTCATCTATATAGCTAAAAAAAAAAAAAAAAAAAAAAAAAAAAAAAAAAAAAAAAAAAGTTTTATTTCTATCAAGGATCTAATTTTGGGTGAAGGACTTTGTTTCTGTATTTTTTCCTTTTTAAAAAATATTTTTAGTTTTAAGAATTGAAGAAGTGATTAAAAACAGAAGAACAGAAGCTTAAAGACTCCTTTTGGTGGTAGCACAGCATCTCTCCAGCAAAATGAAACATGCTCTCAGAGTGGCAGAGGTTAGACATACACTGTGCCCCGTGGAACTGAGACAGATTTTACTCTAGCCCCTGCATCAAGTCCTGTATTGGCTGATGTGGCCTTCAAAGATAGTTATCTGTAGGAAACACTAAACTTAGGGGCATGGATGAAATATTGGTCATCTGAATATAGCCTAGATTCTTTCTGCATCAGTGTAAGATATGGATAGTAACACCACCTTGCTTTGCAGGAGAATTATGCTGAGAATTATTTTAGTTTGTTAAAAGCTCGGATATTCTGTCCTGGAAGATGTATGAGGACAGTAGATAGAAGGAGTGAAAAAAACTTCTCCATATTTCTTCTGTAAATCATTTCTGAGACTGGCAGTCTGTAACCTTTCAGCAGTGTTTAAATTCACTCTCTTGAAAAGCATAGCATCTTGCTTTCTGTGGTACTGTTTGCTATTTCCCAGTTTGAAATCAACTAGTAGAACCCCAGAGGGTTTCTCAAACAGTTGACCATTAAACAGTAAGGAACAAAGATCAATTGAAAACACATTTAGATTTAAGCTTCCTGGCCTGCTTTTAATTTCTTCAAATTAGCATTGGGAGTTATTACTGTGGTCAGTCTGGCCTTTTATTTGTTCTATGGTTTATTCATATAAACAATCAACTTCAGGGATGCCCAATTACTTTCTGTTTTTTTTTTTTTTTTTATATATAATTATCTTCTAAATATTCCCAAATTTATCAAAGATTTATAGTCTTAAATGAAGAAAACATGTTAAATAGAAACATGTTATTTGAAACAGAACTATCTGAGTCTACAGGGAGTTTGCAACTCACTTTGCAAGCAGAATTTGGGTCATGGCACTTTAAAACTTCAATAGCTTTCTTGAGTCTGGGGTCTGGATTTGTGGCAGCCTGGAGTATTGTTTCTGTTCAGATGGAGCTGTACAGACACAAAAGGATATATAGGTCCAAAGAGTTTGCAGTTCAGATAGAAATTGGGAATAGTCAGCTGTTTGGCTGAGCTTACTTATGCCTTTAGGGGACAGGAGGGGAATCCTGAATGTAGTTTGTAGCAACCTCTGCACATTAAAATGATTGAAGCACCTGCAGTTCTGTCCATGGATGTTCTGAGTCCTGAACCTCCTGTCTAAGGTGCCATGCTACTCTATTGCCACCAAAAGCATGATGCCAGACACATTGTTTAGTTGCAAATCTTGCAATAATTGCTGGTTTTGGCTTTGGTTTTGTTTCTTTTATTTTTTTTAAGACACACTACTGTAGTCCTAAAGTAAGTGATAATATCAGCTTTTAGAATTTTGTATTGTGTTTTTAATTCTCAGTGTTACAAAAGAAAATTATGACTGTAGGAATAATGTATCAAGCAAATACTGTTTTGTCAATATGCAAAACCTTTCACCTACTTTCACAGTTTTGGGGATTGTTAGAAAAGATATTTGAGCATTGAAAGCTGATGGCAATGTAGCGTCACTGTCAAGAAGAAAATAAGAATTACACATGTATGTTTGTGTTATATATGTTAGAAAAAATACATTGACAAATACATTGCAATGTAGACACACTCAAAATAGTTTAGATATGAGAAGCCCTAAGGCCATGTTAGTACAGCAGCCTCCCTGGACTAATACACCCTTCACAGGGGGGCCACTGAATTTCTGTGCTCAGTCAGCTATATGATTTCCCATACCTAAGCTAACTTGCTCAGGTACCTCAGCTATCACTGTATGGCTATGTAAGTAATGCAGGCATATAACTTCACAGACGGACAAGCACACAGGAACAATCAACATCCCCAGAAGAGATCCCAGGCTCTGAGTCAGTATGCTAAATCTTTTTAAGGGAATAGTGTTAGTGATAGCTTCAGTATACAACAGGGTATTCATTATGAATAATGGTAGCCCAGAGCCAGCTAATTCTATTTGCAGAGTGGTTTCCCTAAAAAGCAGATGTTGGATAGATGGTAGTCAAATGATCAGTCATGTCACCACCTACAGCACGTCCAAGGGTTGTGGGGAAAAAGATAGTGTGTGGAACATCTCAGTTTTGTGGGAGCTTTGTACATTTTTACAGGTATAAAAAGGCTCACAAAGATATTATGTTGTTGGTTAAGAATTGTAGAGCTGTGATGGTTGGCTATGGCAAGTTAGCAAAGCTTCACCTTGATGTGCTTGTTACTCTTGTGTGACTGTAAATCATATAACAGAACTCTCCAAATGTGATGAGATTGCATGCTAGCCAGAGGTTTGCAGAAGCCTTTTTTAGGCTGGAACACTTCTTGCTTCTCTTTTTATTCCTCTTCCTTGAAGACTTTTTAATGCTTTTTTTCAGTCTATTTTCTTATGGAAGTTCTCTATATGCTGTTTTGTTGCATGTCAATAGCACTGGAAGAGTATCCTTTCAACTGAAAACTAGTTCAACATTCAGTCACAACTGAGGTATTCAAAGCAAATACGACTGCCTGCATAGATAGTGACTTGTAGCATAGTCCAGTATTTAAGAGGGCTTATGTAAGGTAGTGTTCAGTCTTTATCATCTTTGTTCAGCATGGGAACTAGATTGTATTTCCTGTGTAATAGCAAGCCTTTCCCAAGACCTAATTCTGACCATGGGTTCATAACAGATTTTAATGCATCTTAATTTTTGCTAAATCCGTTCATTTTGCCAGCTGAACTCAAGTTAGAAGACACATGCTATGCAAATAGAACATGGTACTTAATTGTATTAAGTGGTATGTCCAGTTTGTGTCACCACAGGAGAAGCTTCTTCTGGGTCTTGGGTATAACTTTTGCAAAGGCTCAAGACTGCTCTATTAAAATGAAATCTTTGGTTTCCATTGCCCTTTAATCAAACACAAACCAGAGCTTCCAGGGATTGTAAAGGATTGTAAAGGATTGTAATAATGTCTCAAGTTGAATTTGGCTCTTTTGCAGCCCATCAAAAGAAGTTGTCCTTGACAAAAACAGTATTTTAAATATCTGCTCACAAGCACTGGAGCCAAAAGGTTGCTATTTCATTTGGCAAAATACCTTCCCAAGAACAAGACTAAGATCTGAAGCTGAGCCAAAATAAGCTCTAACAGATGCTTAGCCTAGAAAGCACTAGACTGAATGGCTAAAATTGTTGATAGAGTGTACAGGAAAAGGGAAGGACAGCTAGCTAGTTCTGCTTCTGAGTTACTGTGTGGGCAAGCTGCATCCCCTATGTCCTAGCGCTCTGCCAACCAGAGGACCTATTTCATCTGTCTGCCACCTCACTTCAGCTTCTGGGGCTTAATCCATTTCTGACTGTGAGTACTGCTGTAGTTAACAATAGACCTTCATAATAGCTGAGGAGGCTAATCTTGTTCTTTCCTAATGGACTCTGTTTTAGCTTGAACAGGAAAAACCCTTTGGATGAAGAGATTCTGCTGTGGCCTTCCACTCACACTTTCCATACCACATCTAATACTTGAGCTTGCAAAAAAAGAAGAGTTTCAGATCCTAGTGAGATTTGAGAATTGCAAAAGCTGTGCTCCTGTGGTGACTGAGATTGATCTAATTGCCCACACTTTCCTTTCCATTTGCTGGTTCCGGCCTTGATCTGTCCTCATGTAATGCTGTCTTTGCTCTCAGATCTGGTGACAAAGTTATTAACTTTCTTGGTGTCTTTTCTGTTAATGCAAAGAAAGGGTGTGGAACTCTGAGGCAAGGACAGAGCAGGACTGTAGTGGTGTTATAAACGATCACATCCAAATTTAGTCATAAACAAAATTTCCAATTTATTAAATAAACAAATAAAGATAAGCAAAAACAGCGCTAGACGGACCGGGAGCCCCTGCTCTACCTGGCCCGCACCGACCGGTTTTCCTCCTCAGTATTTATTCTCTCTCTTCTCATACATAATTATAACCTTTAATACATATTCATAGGATTTCCGGGAAAAGGGTGAGTTTATGGAGCTCTTTCTCGCGAATGCTCTCCTTGTTTGTTGGGGTCTTTTTTTTCCCCTCTCTGGTGGTCGTGGGATGAAGTAAACACTCTTCCTTTGCCTGTCCTTTTGGTGACCCCGAACTTCGCGAATGCATCTTACAAACAACTTATTTTTGGGCCCGGATAACTGTAAACAACACTTACAGAACCAGTTGGACCGGCCCATTAGAACACGGAGTCAGGATGGCTTTGCAAAAAACAAAGAGAGCTATTTACACATTATGTCACCCTGCCCCCTCAAACCTGCAGTTATACAAAAACAGTTCAGTCAAAAATATATATAAGAGCAATATTTTAAACTTATTTTATACTGTGCAAAACCATATGCTGAGGTAGGTGAAAATGGACTAAAAAGCCCTAACATTATTTTATAATAACACGAATCATGCAAACTTATTTCACAGTGGCCAGCAGTTGGAGTGATTCAGGTTGTTGTAAAAGTACAGCTTGATGATGCTGCTCTATGGCAGTTTCTGTGAAACTGCAGCTTAAGTACTTGGTCATTCTCCAGATCCTGGCAGCGAGAGGAGGTGAGGGCAAACAAGCTAAACAGTTTTCCTGAGGTACAGAGATGCCTGATCCATAACCAGAACTGAAGTCCTGGGTTCTTAAGTCAGACCACCAGGATATAAGTAGCTAATTGCCGGTCTTCTGGAAACAGTCAGTCGGTCTAGATCGCTTTGTTCAAGTTAAATACCAAGCATCAGTGCTTAAGGGAAAAGGTAAATAAATCCTGGTTGTGCTCCAGTAGAGGTTGGGACAGATTCTTATCTCATTGACTTTGATGCATGTCTGGAGTAAGCCTTCTATCTGGTGTAATTGATACTAGGGTGTCTTGTGAAATGAAAATTTTCTAGAGCTTGAGGTGGAGAGGAGAGCAAGTGCCAAGAATACCAACCTTGTTCATAAATCTCTAAATTCAAAGAAGCAGGTATTTGTTTGTGTATATGGCTTTATTTATTTAGACTGACTTTGACACTGCGTTTCCTCCGTAGGCAAAATTCAGAAGGAACTTTGCCTTAACTGCTCCTGTGAAGCCTGTGCCCATGGAAATACAGTATGACAGTGCTCCTCTCCATAAACTCCAGCATGGATGAATCTAAGGAACAGGTAATCTCATCCCATAACTGTAACACCTAACATCTGAAATCCAGGATCACAGTGGAGTATAGTGGTGGGAGAAAGACAGACTGCTTTAAAAAAAGTTATTTGCACTTAAAAATAGCCAGCATATGTTTTCTCAGGATCATGCTGTGCTGTGCTGTAATATATAACGAACTGAGATAACATTATAATGAACAGGAAATATCCTTTGGAAGGTGTTGGTTCACATTGATTTCAGTATCTTTTATTGGACAAAGGGAGTTCCAAAAGCACTAACTTGGGTTTGTCACAATCCTAGTAAATTATTATCCTGATATTATGCTAATGAGGTGGTATGAACATGGTGGTAGCAGGCAAAGCTTCTGGGAAGTTAGGACCCAGGGGAAGCCATTGAAAATCTCGACTAAGAGCATCTGACTCTCCCTAAAAGACTGACATAGTACTAAATATGTGGCAGCACTGTGTTACCATGGGTGCATCTTGAGAAAGAGCGCTGCCAGAAAAATTTTTCCCCTTATTTCCTAGGAGTCAATTTGACCAGGTCTTGAACAAGATTGCTGCACTGCAAACAGCTTGGTTTGTATGGCTTGGCTAGAGCTGCTTTTGGGGGACATGTGAGCTTTGATTTGCTCACTGGTCCAGACCTTGTGAGGTCTGGTAGAAGAGGTTTACTCCATCCTATTTAAAGAAGCCTTAGTGGGTTGCTCTAAAGAACTGGGGTATTGGCATCAGCTTCAAGTTAATGAAACCATAGCAACATGCTGTGGGATGCAGCAGTTGACAGGCTATATATTAAGAATTGTTCAGTCTCTGTGAAAGTGGGAATAAACCTCCAATACCTGATTTTAAAAAACTACAAGTTTGGCTAAGACTGTGAATTTAACAGTGAGGGGTCTAGGACATAAATAAAGTATTCAGGTTCCATCTAGTAGAAGCTGTATGTTCTTGCTTTAATGTAACTGTAAGCAACTATCTTCACAGAGAGACTAAGCATAATCTGAAACCAGTTGTCTCTGTGAGCATAGACAAAGTCACAACAAGAATGACATGCTGATCATTGGCTAGAAAATGCCATGAAATATTTCGTGGCTCAAGGAGCAGACATGTTATTCTCTGTAATAGGAAAATTAAATTTTTTTTCAGTCTGGTTTGACCTCAGATTGTTTGTTCATTCTGCTGTCAGAATTTGGTGATCTGTAAGTCCAGGACACTGTCTTTTAAATGATGCCTGTATAATTTCCTACAGTTTTTCTCTCCAGTTCATCTCTGACATTGTGGAGCACTTAAATTCAACAAAACCTAAATTGCTGAAGTTAACTTCTTTGGTATTTTTATGGGGGTTTTGAGTGCTACCCTTAAAAAGCCCTTTGCAATGCCCCAACCACTTACTGATACTCTACAAAATGAAATTACAAGCAGTGTTTATTCCTGAGCATTATTGACTTGCAGTATTTCTGGCTCATAGGAAATCTTAACTCAAGTTTATCCCAACTCAGAATAAAAACACTGCTTGCAGTAATCTGCAAATCAGAAATTTTTAGGTACTCCCTTGGAAATGGCAGTTACTGATTGAAATCACCTGTTTGCTTATTAGACAATGAAATGTTGAGCAAGGCAGAACAGCGGATTAGAATCTGAAAGCTTTGAGGTTTCCAGACAGAGCTTCTGTTTTGGGAGGAGGAGTACTGGAAACCCAGAAAGTCTGTGCTTTGCCTCCAGTATCTTTAGGCTCTAGGTTACCTTGGAAAAGAAGCCTAAAAGCCCTTACTGTCTGTAGTCCTGGTATAGTGGACCAGATTACTAGACTAGTAATCAGAGTAGGTAGGGCTTGAACAAATTTGATTTTTTTTTAATTTTTGACCAGGACTACTAGTGATGTCCTACCTGCTGTGTGGTCCTCCAGCAACTGGCAAAATGCAAGTATTGTGTATATGTAGAACTATAAACAGTGCTGTCCAAAAAGGTAGCAAAAATCTGCTGTGATTTTTTTTTTTTTCCCCCCTGCCAAATTCAGAGATCTCAGACATTTGAGGATCTTTTTTAAAATCAGATCTGTACTCCAGCTCTGCTGGTGCTTTTTGTGTCCTGTATGTGTTTTTACTTGAAGAGGTGCTTGGGTTTCTCAGTCCTGAGATTGGGTTGAAATTCAGTACAGACAAGTACACTGTCAGCTAGAGAAGAGTTAAATACAACAATGCCCCTGACTTGGGATGCATGCTTGTATCAGGGATCTATGATCCTGTTCTACTCTCTGATTTTGGTGTTTGGATTGGTACTGAGGAGGTTGAGGACACTGATGCATAAACAAATATAAGGGTTGCTTTGGTATTGCAGTTCATAGCAAGGCAGGGTGTGCTTACAAAGTCTAGTGTGACACAAATTAAACCAATTTGTTTCTCAGTTAAAGAGAAACTAATAACAAATGTGCCTATAAACATTTTTTCTGATTATGCAATTTTTGGCTGTATGTGGGAGATACCTACATAAAGTTAGCTATCATGAATAGGTAGTGAGGTCCTTAGTGCACTAGCAGCTGATGTTAGTCCAACCGATAGCAGAGTTTCAACTGCTTTTGGTTGATCTAAGACTTGCCCCTTGTATGAAAATTAGTTGTGCTTGGAAGTCCCCAAAACCTTACTTCTGAAGTATCTTGTTCCAATATTAGGATTTTTGGAGGCCTAGGCTTACTCATCTGAATCTTCAAAACATTGATCAGGCTCTTCAAAGTGTTCCTTGAGCACTAACTTTGTCAAAGTTCTCCATGTAAAAGTCAAAGTTCTCCATGTAAAATTGCAAGTGTGTTTTCATGAAAAGCTATCATACATCCACCTGGCTATGTGAATACAACACCAGGGTGAGTCAACTGGTGGCATTGCATGGAAGAAAAAAGCTATTCCTTATTTAGGAGGAACTTATCTTGAGATTTCTGGCACTTTTTTTTTTTTTTTTTTTTTTTTTTTTTTTTTTTTTTTTTAATGGCACTGTTTGTGTTGCATCCTCTGTTTTAGCTGACATTTTATGTTTTCAGTTTTGCTGATGGACTTCAGTGGTATTTCTGTCCTACAGGGATCAATTAAAGAGTTCACTTTCCTTTATATTGTAAGTAAACAGCTTCATGTGGTGGGACTTTAAGTCACTAATAGTTGTAGCAGGAAGATAATGAAGGTTATTTATCAGCTGTCCAGCTGCCTGTCCATGTGACTGAAATGGACAGCAGTTGACGGCTTTGTATTATAGTCATTTTGGGAACTTTATTTGGGCAAGTGACCTTCTTTGTGATTCCTTGCATCTGACAACTGTGTGCAGAGCAAACAAGTGAATAGAAACTACCACATTTGGTTGGTTTGGGTTTGCAGGCCAACACTCTTATCTCCAGTAATACATACTTGCAATTCCTTCTTGGCCATTGAAAGGGATGGGAAGATACTCTGCACCATGAAGATGTCTTCCCAAAGGAGTAAAAAAAATGTTATCTACAGTGCCAAAACTAATAGACAATAACAAGTTCCTCTGTATGTCATCTGTTGCCTTTTCAAACTGAGGGGTGCAGCTTGAGAACTGGCTCCGTGAACATCTAAAAATTGGTAGATACACCCTCAATCCAAACAGCTCTGGGTGGTTCTCCTGTGCTCAGAGGGAGGGAATCAATTCCAGGAGCACACTCCCCAATCTGTTACACAACCTGAGCATGCAGACATTCAAAGTATTTGCCATAGATGATTCTGATGTTTTAAATTCCCTAAAGAGACCAAACGTTTTGCCTCCACTTTGAAGAACTCTGGCTGCCTTCTTTATGTGTCAGGGAGGGCAATGGGAGTGGCTTCTAGTCTCTTCTGCAAAGCACTGTGGAACACCATAGTGTATGGCACTGTTGAGGTCCCCCAAGAAGAGATACTTGCAGCAGACAGTGGCAAGGCAGAGCTGGCAGATGTAATAATGAGCCAGAAGCACTGAGAGGTTTGATCTGCAGCACATGAAGAACTTATAAACTGTGCTTTATGTGTGTTAACAGGCTAAGCTGTTTATCCACATTTTGTGTGGCTTGTTTTCAGCTACAGCAGGCACTATTAGAAATATTTAGACAGCTCTTCATCACCAGCTCATTGGGCCTCAGTTTTGTTGAGACGGTTTTTGACACTAATAAAAGTCAATACATGAGGGCATGTACACCACAGAACACAGCTATGACAGTAGAAGGGTAGGATGTTGCTGTCTGTCAACTTTTTATGTACAATGCCATTGATTTGAAGATGGCTACTGTAATTTTGCTTCCTAGTAGGCCATTTCTCTTCTTAGGATGGAGAAGGGACAAAAGGGTTTCCTGGAGAGCTGGGGTCTAGGATCAAGCTGGGAACTGGAAGAAGTGTGCCCAATCTAATGGATAACTGAGGTAGAAGTGGTAATGCTAGTGTTAAGACATCAAAATGAAGCATTCTTGGGATTTGTCTGTGAAAGGTCTGAATAAATCTGGTGAGAAAGCTTTCTTTTTTTGTTTCAGTGGAGACCCAGGTGCTGAGGAAAAAGCAAGAGTAAGAAAAGAGATGAAAGAACTTGTAACCAAGGTTGCTTGTGTCAGATTCTTGATGAACAGCAAGGTTCAGTTTCCATTGCTGTTGGGAATCTTTTAACAGCAAGAAAACAAATCTGTGAAGAAGGAAACATACAAAGTTACAAGATGGAGGTATGTGAGAATCCTTGACATAGCTAAGGATTGCAAAATTGGTCTTAGTGTATCTATTTGCTAAATCCTCTATTAGGATTCTTGCTGATCCTCAGCCTCTGTCAAACCATTTCTGTATGCAGGAAAGCGTTGTGTTTACAGCTCTTTGAAGAATTATCTTAATTTTCCTGCAGACTTGTAAACCAGCTGTTTATTTCCTTCAGTCTTAATCTTATGCTTACAAGAAAAAGTGTTTGGAGCTTGAAGTTAGGCTGAATTGTCTTCTCATTCCTTCAAATTATGCTCACAGAAGCTAGTTCTGATGCTTGTTGCTAGTTAACTGTGGTATCCTAACTGCTGAGTTTGTCTTGTTATCTCTTGTTGGACTGGAGAAGGGAAGGGTTAGGCAAAATAGTTTGAACAGTTGTGTTGGTTTAAATATTTATAGCTAACCAGCAACTTCTTGTGATTGGGTTGTAACTGTGTGGTTTTATTTGCTTCCATAAAATACGACAAATGCTTTCTTCTTCCCATCATATATAAAATTATATGCTCTTTAGGGTAGTGACTTTTCAGTTCATAAGGCTCAGAGGACCCCTTGTGACCCTTAAGCACACCTATACTGTCACCAATAAAATGATCTTAAGTCTTCAGCCATTGGTTCATTATCCAAGCCAAGCAGCATGGGCAGAGTTGACACTTGCAAGGACCATATCCTAAATAAGCTCTTGGTGTAAACCAAAGAACTATTTCACGCTATTCTTGACATCAGCTAAATACTAGTATGGTGTTTCGGGAGGGGGTTGGGTTGGTGGGTTTTTTTTTCAACCAATCATTTTTGAAGCTGGGTAGAAGGATGTTTTCTCTATTGTGTGCCTCTTGACTGAGTATCTTGCATAAGCAAGTAAAAAAAAAAAAAAAAAGAGACTCTTATCTAGTTCAGAAGTACTGTTTTGGAAATGCAGTTTCTACTGGCATAAATTAATGGGCTTCCAAAAAATAACTATTGCATAGAATATACAGTTCTGTTTTGACATTGCATATATCTAGCACTATATGTTTATCTAAAAGATAACTTATGAAATTAAAGTAGCTTAATATCATCTCCAGCTGAAAAAACACAGCTTTTATACAGCAGAGCCCTTGGGAAGTTTAGATTTGTGTTTTTTGGATCAAATTACTTTTCCAGGTTGGAGACCACTTTGGAATTTTGGATCCTCTTTGTTGAGTTTAACATGATCAAAAAAGAAAATTTGGCATGTAGGTTCCCTGTGTCTACTGGTTCAGAATTTATTGGTCGGAGTTCTTCTAAGAATCATTTCATTATAAATTCTGGAAAATAATCTGATGTTAATAGAATATTATGCAATGAGAATACACATGGGTAATTCTGTATTAGACCCCTATGTGTCCTCAGAGGTGAATTTCTAGGCAATTGTCTGTGTGCTAAAGCAACTGACTGGAGAGGAAATTGGGTGTTTCTGTCATGATACCTGTCTGAAGGAGGTCTGAGTCAGTTTTGGTGGGATTTGGAATATCTTCAGTAAAAATACCAGTAGTCACTGCAAAGATGCTTGGGCATGCTGACAGGAACTGCACAGTTAGGTGTGTACTGTTGAGCACAAAATTCTTCAGAAAATCAAAGCAACAACCATAGAATTGAAAACCACTGTATAAATGCACTGTGGAAGACACAAGGCTATAAACTTAGTATCTAGTCCTTCCCTTCATTCCTCATTTAATCTTCCCTTAGGGTGAATACCAGTAAAGTTCAGTTTAAGTCATTAGTCTGAAATTTGTCCAAAGTACTTGAATATTTGATCAGTAAATATAGGTCACCTAGAAGATAGAGAAGATGGTTTGTGATGGGCAAATGAGAGATCATACTGTGTAATATGCAGTTCATGATATTTGAGGTTGACCTTTGGTTTTTGGCACTGCAGAATATTTTCCAAAATAGGCACAAACCAGTAAGTTCCAATTCAAGAGCTCTCTGTGCTATGAATCCATTCTCAGCAAGGGTTCAGATTTAAAGCATCCAGCTTTAATTTGTATTGAAATGCAGCTTCTTATTCTTTTCACATAAAGAGTTGTGTTATTCTCTTGTAGTGGATTAAAATGACTTGGAAAGAATGCTTTTTATTTTTATTTTTTTAGAGTTCTGAAGTTCATTGCTAAGTTGATAAATTGTCTTTTTCATTCCTCCCCAATCACCATCTCATTTTTCCCCCCACAGATATTCAGGCTTTATTTTAATCATTATTTGTCTAAAACCTATGTAGTTATGACCCTGGAAGAAATAAATAAAACTGATTACTTTACACTGCCAAACTCTGTAGTAATTCTTTCTCCCATCCCAGTTAAGATTAAAACATGCAACGCAGTGGCAATAAGGAACATCTTGCATCTTTGAGAATTACAGAATAGCATTTTGGTACACTGGCTTACAGGAGGACCAGGAGGTAACTTTGATGGAATAACTGAAAACCAGTGGGGCCAGATATCCACTTGGTGGCAACCTCTCTGTTTCTGATGAAGTTTATAAGGTTTTGAAAGCTACATTTGCAGAAAAGGTAATGTATGTCCAGATAGGCAATAGTTTGATGCTTCCTACCACATGGAAGACTTGTGCACAGACTACTTCCATGAGATAATATACAAGCAGAAAGAAGATGGCTTTCAGTTTTTATTCACCTTTTAAAAGCATCCACTACCTTTTAGCTCAAGGGAAATGTATGTGAAAACTTTCAGAAAATAAGGAAAGCTTTGTTGTTAGTAGAAGAAATTGGAGGACAACAGCTAAGAGAACTCTCCCCTGTTAGCCAGTTTCAGTCTGACTATTCCCTACATGTGTTTAGTCCTTGTCCCTGTCTTTTTTGCCCCACAGATGCGGAGGACAGCATGACATAAATGCCAATCTGAACACATAGTTCACACGTAATGTTCTTGTAAATGTCATGTCCATTAACCACTGCATAATGGGAGTTTTGATCCAGGGCTGGAGACTATAGCTGACTTTAAAAAAAATCCTATCTTTTGATGGCTGGTAGTTAGTGTTAAATGATGGCAATGGTGCTCACCTGCTTGTCAGAAAAAATTAATCCATGCTGTGGACTCCTACCAAATGTAAATGGAGAACATCTAGCTTGGTTCATATGATCCATGTTTGCTGTATAAACTGTGAAGACTGATTATTGTTAGAGAAATGATGGGTGTAGCAATTACCCCCAAACAGACTCTGTTAATCAAACAACAGTTTTCTCCCCAAAAAGGCACTTAATGAGCAAATGAAAGTTAGCAAGTTTGAAGTTGCAGGACCACTTTACCATTTACGGCAAATGCTTCTTACTAGCAGAAAGAAGCTTCTACAGCAGTATCAAATTTTGTTGCTGGTGTCATGAATGACGTTGAGTAAACTGGCCATGACAAGCAAAACCTCAGTAGGCAACATGCTTTGTGAGCTTGTGTTTGTTTCTGTATTGCTCCATCGTTCACATTATGCAATGGACAGTGTAGAAAACTGCCTAGGGTCATCAGAACCTGATGACCTTCCTCCTGTGGCTCCATCTCTGCTATTTGCTTCTTTTTGTAACTAACTGGTTTATTCTGGTAGCACAGCGCATTACAGGGCACAAACCCAGAAGGTTCTCTGCTGCTTCCTGGAAACCTAATAGTCTATACTCTTAACTTTTTAGTGTTTGATTCCTTCTTTTCCACACAGACTTTTCTAAACCGTTAGTTCATTTGCATTCTGCCAGAAGAAGATATGTTCCTCCAGGCAGTTGATAGAATAATCTGTAAGTATTGTGGTTTTAGCTAGTATACCAGAAGTGCTGGCTCGGGCCAGGTTGCTCAGATGGGCATTCCTGTGACTGTAGAGCAGTCTCAAGGGCATAATAAGAGCAGCAGTTATAACAAAAGGCAAAGGGCAGTAGCTAGAAATCTAGAAGTGTCTCCTCCCCATAGATTTTTTAAGGTAGTGCCAATGCAGAGAATAAGAGATTCCCATTTCTCATGAGCAGGCCCGCTGTGAAGAAGTTTATCTAGGATAGTTGGTAGTTGCATGAGTTGAGAAAGATCTTAAGTTGCCCAAATTCACAATGTGAGTGAAAGACATACGACAGAAGTAGCTTAAGTTGTAATTTGTTCTTGCCTTTCCTTCTAATTTCTTTTACCTTTAAGCTTCCCCTTATCAAACATCCCAAGATGGCAGCTGGAAAGGAATGAGAAGAAAATATAGAAATAAAAGCTATGCATCGGATGCTGAATAGCATTGCCTTACTGATATCTATGCTCGCTTAGCATAGTCTGAAGTTTTGAAGGGGGCTGTGTTCTGTGTAGGTTTTGGGGGTTTTTTTATGTCACACCTTACATAACATTGCACATAATACATAATATTATTCATGTTCTACAGTTTAAAGAAACTCTGGTAGAGTGATGACTCTATTTGTGAGCTACAGGGATCCTAAAAATGTGTTTTTTTCTATTTAACACTTTCCAGAAATCTGTTGAATTCTATTAGAAAAACTCATACCATTTGAAGGATTTTTTATCTCCCTCTCTTTCCCTTTTAGCTGGGACTATCGAGAACACTTAGTACAGCTAGTTACTGATACTCAGAATCTACTCCCGTTCTCAGAAATGATGCTTCCAAACTTGTTATGCAGCATGAATTCCAACTTGCTCGTGAGCATAAAATTGCCTGGTTCCTCTATAGCAGAGAAGACCTTTTGTTTAGTGATTTCTACTGTTACTGGGTTCTCAAGTATTTTTCAGATTGAGGAGAGTCTCTACAGAGCCTTAAACTGCCAGATTTATTTTTCATTCAAGGATCAAATGCTTGTCCTCAATGGGTAGTTGTATGTAGAGAAGGAAATTGAGAGGGAGAGGAGGGGAAATATCAACTGAAAATATTTGCTGTGAATTAAACATCCAAAATTATACCAAGACTAAATAATCAACTGTCCATTTTAAATTATAAATGCTATTATTTTTCTAATGCAGTTGATCAGGTA